GAGAGAGAGAGAGAGAGAGAGAGAGAGAGAGAGAGAGATTGGACCAATTGACTTTTGATTCGATTCGTTGCGTCATATCGTCAACGACATCGTCCACCGTTGAAGGATAAGACAACAATCGATCAATAACCGTCTCTTTCATAATTCTTCCCAAAAATATTTTCCCAAAAAAGAAAAATTCAAAATCTCGTTATGCATTTATTCATTCTTGAATTGTTGTTTAGATATGACGTTGTGCCACTTCAAGATATGCAACATGGGGCGCAAGCGGCAATTTCACAAGTAAAAAAAACAAGATAAACGAAATGGTTGGCGGATGATGGGCCATGGGATCGAGAATGGTCGAGCCTCTTGCGCGGTGCACCCTTTGCCTCGAACGAGACACGCGAAAACAGAGGGAACGGAGGAATTTCCCATTCCTCGAATGGAATTCATTGGCTTTCCAAAATTCTCCATTCGATCAAAAAAAAAAAAAAAAAAAGAAAAAGAAAAAAATCCGGCTCCGATTCGGCGCCTTCCACACTCTTTCCAACTCTTTCGAGAATCCGTTCAAAAAACCACTTAAGGCTCGTCACATTTGTCACTGTGAAGCGAGGAAAAGTTTGATGATCGGCGGGGCCGATATTTTGTTACGATATATTTTTCGTTCTCGTATCGAGGGACGCGAATGATCGTCAATAATCATCTTACGATCGATTTACGAGCGAACCCTGATCGGCGAAAAGATATTGCGGATACGAGCGAATGTGCATATATTTCACCAGTATCGTTTAATTCGATCGAGGACACTGCATTCGCGACCCGACAATTGCTCTTTTACGTATTCAATATAATTTTTCGATATAATCGAAAATATATATATATATATGTATATATATATATAATTCGATATAATTAAACGTAATAAAATTTTTCGATGATCAATTCATATTCCAGAATCTGTTCAAAAACGAAACTAAGAGGACGAAAAAGAGACGAACGAATGGAAAGAGAGAAAGAGAGAGAGAGAAAACGAAACAAATTAAATTTAAGGAGTGGAGTGTCCTCGACAAGCCATCGATAGAAAATCGAAATGGCGAATAAGTATTTATTCGTTAGGTTTAAGCGAGAAGGGTGCAAGGGCCGAGGCTCAAATGTTCTCGAAACTGTTTTTAAAGGAATATATATATATGTGTGTATGTGTGTATATATATACATATATATACATATATTGAAAAACAAGAAAATGAGATTATCACAGCACGTACAATTATAAAAAAAACATTATTCTTCTAGTTAGCGAAAAATTTGTTACGATATTCTGCTATCCGTTTCTTTATATGTATGTTCAAATTCAAACATATTCGTAAATAAGAATGTAAACGTTGCTATATATCAATTATGATTTACGACTCTTTTTCCAATCGCACGCATTTTGACAAAATTTAACCGTTCTACCTTTCCTATCCTACGATTGTTATCGGAATAAAGACGAATGATATTTTTGATAAAAAAAAAAAAAAAAAGCAACAAGAGGACGAATAAAAGGAAAAAGAAATGTACGTCGACGATCTCAGGAAAAAAAACAGAGACGGAAAAAGAGAGGCCGCCTGCACCCTTCGTTATAAATTATTTATAATCGTTTCGGAAAAAGAAACGTACCATGTTTTTATCTAGTTATTTTATGTGTCCCTTTTTATTTATTTAATCCCGATAAATTCGTTACTTTTTTAGTAGCTCTTCATCCTGAAAATGCATCGTCGTTTACTCCAAAATATTTTATGACTAAACATTCTATCGATCGTTTTTCTACTAACTTATTTTTATTTTTTTTTTTTATAATTTAAATATATTCTACGTGCATTTATGCCAAAACTGTCGTAAATCATTTCTTTGTAAAATCTTAATCTTCTCTTGTACAATGTTACTATGATATTTGAATTATGATATTTAAAAATGTATCTAAATCTCTTATCTTCAAGTTTAATCAAATTTAACCATATGTTTTCGCCTCAAATCGCGCAAGATTTAAAACGGGAAAAATTAATAATCTTTCATCATTGTGATTCCCAATAACAATGTAATACAACAATAAAATAATAGCAACATAATAAAAAGCATAATTATATGAGTAGTATGTATATGTGAACTTATTATTTCTATTGTCTCGAAATGAATCAAAACTCCAAAATTTTTTAAATATCGTGACAACGAATATTTTTCTCACAATGATAAAAAGCGCTCTATTTTCGAATCATATATTGGTCATTAACGAATAAAAGTATAAAAATATATGTATTTTGTATTTATTTAATATATAAATATGAATTATTATTAAATTCTCGCAAAGAGAAATAAAACGCGTATATATAATGCTGTGCAAAGTACATACACGTGCTCAGTCACGTGAGATAATAAACGTAACAAATAATTACACAATGATAAAAGTTGCGTTATATTACGTATATCCCGTAACATAAAATCTGACGATTCATCAATATGATTATATATAGACAGATCAATAATAAAAAAACAATAATTTGAAGTAATAATTGACATAACCTCAAACTATTTTTTGATTTTTATAATTAAATTTTAAAATGAAACACCTACCAGTAATCGTATGTCCTTTATATTCTTCCAATTTTTTAAATTCATTCACGACATGATAGAAATAATTTTATAAATCACAAAAATTTCACTATTATTCACAAGAATCACAACCAAACTATATTGAATACATTTTTTTTTATAGACTATAATTATTTTCTAAAATCTAACGTTTACGTTTTTTGTTATTATATATATTAAGTTTAAAATAATGTAGTAATATCAGTAATATATTGTATGTAATTATAAAATAAACAACAAATAAATATCACATGTTCGAGAACACCGAAATATTCGAGATCACTCTGCCCACTGTACATTTAAAACTAAACTAATAATACGTAGCAAAAAGCATTTTATCATTCATAGATAATACAGTGTTACAACAACTATTTCTCATTCGTTCTTAATAACGATAATAAATACATCAAAATGTATATCATATACTCTTATATTTGCGAATAAATATATTTAAAACATTTTCAAATAGATATATATATATAATATAAATCTGTATTTAATCACGCGCCTAAAACAGATATAAATAAGGAAAGTAAACAGCGAGAGAAGAAAAGAGATAAAAATTGAAAACTCAGTTTTTAGAATATCATAAATGAAACACAGATAAAATATATAAACAAAAAGCAAATAGTGAAAGAAGATACAAATATGTTAAAAATAATGTAGTGCCATCTTATAGGATTTTATGAAATATGTTTATGAAATATCGATCGGTTAAAAAAAGATCAGATTGTTTGTTATGCCGTTTTTTATATTTCTAATATTTTACGATTTAAATACGTATATAAAATTAAATTATGCAAAAAATATAAAATCCTTGTTTGGAAAACGTTCAAATCTTTGATCGTTGTGCAAAATAAATAATAAAAGAAGTTATAAAGAAATTAAAGCAAGAAACTAAACCAGCTAATTTCTATCAATTATTGTATTTTATTTATTTAATTAATCCATCAAATAATTACACATATAAAAACATATTAATTAAGAATTAAGAATTAATTAAATGGTGAAAGAATACATTTATTTAAAATAAAAATATAATTTATTTAATTTCTAATATTCTCTACAATATCTTTCTTGTAATATTCTTAATAGTTCGTTGTATGACTTACTTAACAAACATATATCGTCACAAATTAATAAAAACAACTGCTTTTTATACAAAAAATTAAATGTTATTATCTGATTGTTATTTCGAAATATTATCGCATCCATATTGAAATTTGTTTTTCCCGCCTTGTAAATTCTCTCAATAGTTAATTATTAATCTATACAAAAAACTAATCAATTCTTTAGAATAAATATATAAAATGTATGAAATTAAAACGATTGTATCAAAATAAAGTAATAATCAAAAATTTAAATCTTATTTTAATATTTTATGATAACACTAATAATAAAATAAGTTGATAAAAAAATATAATTGAATAAATTAATTAAATAATAATATTCGAAACATGAAAGAACAATTACAGAAATAATATAATATGCAATAAATTAAATTTCATGTACCTAAAACGAGAAGTGTCTGTATCCTATAATGCTATTTCGACAACAGAATGATATCTTATGCCGCGATTTTATCAAAGATTTGAATGGTTCAGCAAAAAATTAAAATTAAAATGCCGAGTATGATACGAATGCGAACTATTAATTTTCGAAGATATTACATTGTGTAATGTATCATGAGAAATATCTTTCACTTTGAGCGTAATATCAAAACAAAAATAATACGAATAAATTTAAGAAAATAATATATAAGAACATGTAATATATAAAATAATCTGATTTAACTATTTTTATTTCCATACGAATAAAAAGATAAAAGAAATTTGTAATAATTATTATTACATTATTTTTTTACTTCTTAAAATAAGACGAAAATCGTGATGAACTTATTTTTCGATTTATTTATAATTAATTTCGATTTATTCCAGTTTAAATAGAATTAAAAATTAAATAGAACTATAAAATAAAAATAATATTAAAATAACTATAGATTCAAATCTGGATTCAAATATTTGTAATATGAACTATTGTTAACTGTCAAATGCGCAAACGATGATGAAAAATGATAAAAAAATTTTAAATGCGATACAATTTTAATATAATAATACTTCATAAGTGAGTAAATACACATCTGTTAATTAATAAACAAAAAAATTAATATAAATTACATCACAATCAAATTCTATATAATTACATACTTGCGTTACTATGATGCGTATTTTCTTTACGATTCTTGACAACAGACTAATATATGCATTTATTCGTTTAATCGCTGGGCCTTGACAGTTTTTTGATTGATTGGACGGCACGGTTCTTTATTCATCTTAATCGCACGAAAATTGAATCATAATATAAAACATTTCAAACATTTTATAAATTTCTATGATATCAAAGACTTATAATGACATATCAACTAAAAATATAATAAAAATAAATTATTATAATTAATTTAATATTAAAAATTATCCAAATTAAGATTTGAAACATAAGAATAAATATATAAAATAAAATTTGATTAAATCTAAAAAAATACAATATAAAAAAGAAATAACAATAAAATATATTTAAATATAAATAAAAAATAATGAAACTAGTGATGAAACTATTTGAGATAAATATAAAATTAAAAAAGAGATTAAACGATTTTTGGAATATAATATTTTAGCAATTTTTTTAGATTTTTATTTTTAATTGTTCTGCTTCTAACAATTCATTACGATTTACGAAAAATATAATAATTTGTATTTTTGTAAGCTGTGCAGAGAAAACATAAAAAGAATTCCTATATTATTATCCTATATATCAATATATATGTAATTATAGATTCTCTAATATTTTATCATAAACTGTTCATTTTTTTTAGTTACTATATTTACCAATTTTTTAAATTCTGAAACATACATACATATACATATACATATAAATTTTATTTTATATTATTTTAAAATAAATATATAAATCTTTGAAAAATTTTTATCCTTTTTGATTTTCTATTTTCTATTTTTATGATGAAATTCTCCTTTTCAATTTTTGCTTTGATTAATATTTTAATCTAATTTATAAGAATTATAAGATATTAATAATTATATTTGGCTCAATATATAATACATAATGATAGATCAGATTATTAAAAGATCTTATATTATTATGCTTTATATAGAAACAAATGAAAATATAATTTAAATGATATAAACAATTGATTGCTGAATAAATTAAATTAAATAAATTAATTAAATGATTTTTTTATTTATTTTTTTATTTTTATTTGCTATAAAAAGCAGAAATATATTTTTAAAGATAGATTATCAATTTAATTTTACAAAATAGATATTCACAATATATGCATAATTATAAGTAAGAATATTGAAGAATATCACATCATCTTTCTTTCTGTTTGTTTTTTTCATATCTATCCATAGATCGATTTCTTTCTTTACGTTTTTCTTTTTCTTTGCGATTCGAATGTCTTTCTTTATATTTCTCATATCCTAAATTCTCATTGACACTTTCTCTGTTCCATCTTTTTTTTTCATTGTCATGTTTCTTTTTTTGTTTGTGTTCTTTATAATTTTCTCTTTTGCTTTTATCGCGACTTCTACTTCTGCTTCTATCTCTATGTTTCTTCTCTTTTCTCCGTCTATCATATTCATATTTTTCGCGTGATGTATCATGATATCTTTGTTCCTTGTGCTTCTCTTTCTCTATATATTTATCATTATTATAAGAATATTCTGAATTGTTCTTATTATCATTCTTTCTATGATCATGTTTTCTATGGTCCATCATTTCTATTTTATTCTTTTTATCATTCTCCCTTCGACTTTTTATATCATCATTGTTTGTAGATTCGTCTTTTTGTTTGTATCTTAAACTAACTTTTTCTAAATTTTCATTATTATCTTTATCGTTGAAATACTGTATACCTTTACCCTTGCCTTTCCATCTCATCTTAGCTACTGATTGCGAGAAATCTACGTGTATACGACGATCGTCAATTAAAACATTATCCATTTTAAAATACGCCTCCTCGCAACTTTTACGATCAGCAAATTCGATAAACGCATATTGTAATGAATCACCGGTTTGTCGATCTCTGATAACTTCACAACTAGAAAAAAAGAATAGAAAGAAGAATTATAAAAAGTATAATATTATATGAATAATACTAAATGTAATAAAAGAAATAATTTAACTTAACATACCCTATAATCTTTCCAAATCTACTAAAAACAATTTCAAGATCATCATCAGTTGTAACAGGATTTAATTTACAAACAAACAAAACATTTTCAGGAGGAGCCATATCTGCATCTGGAATATCACCCACGATTTCTAAAATTGTAGCTCTTGCCTTAGCTTCCTTTTCTTTTTGCATTTCTATAATTTCTTCAGCTGTCATACCAGCTGTATCATCTATCACTTCATCAGCTCCAATTCTATCGCTCTATAAATATGTTTTTTTTTTTATTATAATACAAGAAATTTTAATTTTTCAAAATATAAAATAAAAAAAAATAATTATACCATTAAAACTTCTTTTGTGGGTGGTGGGCTCTGATCGGGTACAACAAAATTTTTTGGATCCTCAAAAGGATCTTCTAAAATCACGGTATGAGAAATACGTATATCTTGATAAGGTCTATGATCTCCATCACAAATAGTTTCATTGAACTTAAGAATAATCTCTAAACCTTCTGTAATTTCACCAAATACACAATGTTCTCCGTCTAATGATTGAAGTTCAGGTGCAAGAGTAATAAAAAACTGAGATCCAAGCATATTATTGCCACAATTAATCATGGATAATAAACCACTTCTATCATGCTTTATTTTTGGCATTTGCTCTGCTTCATAATATCTTGCTTTTTCACCTAATACTATTCCATAAACACTTTCTCCACCTTTTCCAGTACCAGTAGGATCTCCAGTTTGAGCAATAAAATTGTTTTGAACAGAGTGGAACAAATTCCAATTGTAATATTTTAATTTGCATAATTTTAAAAAATTGCGACATGCTACAAAATATTATGTATGTTAATAAATATTAATCGGTGATAATAATCGGTAAAGTATTAATTTATAATATAATAATAAAAAAACCTAACCTCTATTTTTGCTTTACACTTACTTTGCGGGCGTTCTTCTGTATACAAATCAACAGTAAAATCTCCTATAGTAGTTTCAACTACAACTGCCATGTTTTTATGCTTTTCTTACATAAAGACTAATTTTATTCACATTTAATATGTATATACTATTCAGAATTTATTCTATCACTATGTGATACACATAATGAAATACGAGTTCATCTCATAACAACTATATGGCGCTGAATTAAAGAAAACATCTTTCAGAATTATGTTTCCTTTCAAAATCACAAATGAATGTTCTTCAAGTGAATTAAATATTTAGGAAAGCAATACAATTTTTTAAATTCTTTGTGTAATATATTGATTATAACATATATACAGATAAATAAAAAGTAAAATACAAATTAAATATATGTCACGATTAACAAATATTTTTATTCTTTTTTTTGTGGTAAAATTTTTGGTAAAGAAATGAATTCAAGTTTATAAATATCAGGTACAAGAGCACTTAAAACCATATGTGTTAATGCTGCAGTGAAACCCCAAACGCGATATTTCCCACCCAAATAAACTGGCAAAGTATAACTGTCACGGAAATGAGTAAACCGACACAATGAAAGATCGCAAAGATTTCTCAAACTGAAAAAAAAAGCTTCTTCTACTTCATCTGTATTAATTTGAAGTTTTTCGGGATCAATTTCGCCAACATAACTGAAAACAGGCAAAACCTTGACATTCTGTTTATCGAATATATTACCGGAAGTCCAAATATCGATTTTCTTTTTTGGAATTTTAAGTTCTTCCCATGTTTCACGTAATGCAGTTTCTTCCAGGTTAGAATCTTTCTTGTCATACATACCACCAGGAAACGAGACTTGTCCACGATTCGCAGTTACTTTTGTAGATCTTAAAGTATATATGAAACCTAGCTCTCCTTTATTCGTACATAATGGTATTAAAACAGCAGCTTGAGTTGTATTGTTATCTATGCGTTTGGAATCATATCTCTCCGGAATTATACCATTCTTGAATTTTTCAATAAAGGATTTCCGATTTTCTTTACTAAGCACCACTTCCGGTCTCAGATGTTCGAACTTGATGGCGTTTATATTTCGTTGTGATTCAGTCGACTTTTTTGTAAAGAAGAAACATTCTTTTAATGCAATATTGTAATAATAATCAACAGTAATATCAGTATGATATATTAATCGATATTTTAATCGTTTTTGTACATTATATACTAACAATAATTGATTAAGCATATTTCTGAAATGTTAACAGTTCAACAAACATTTTTTTTCAACTTAAGGAAAAAAAAATAAAAAATTTTGTTTTGTCTTTACCACCACTATTCAAAAATAAACAAACGGATATCCGCGAGACAAGCGTCATCTAGTATGCAGAAAGTACAGCAAGCAAAAGAAAAATACTTACGAAGTAACGCTGTGAGCAGCGTAGAAAAACTGAATATAGTTTCATTGATAAACTGTATTTTTGAAATACTTTTTATGTTATGCGATAAAGGTCGAAAAACACTACAAAAGAAATGTGTTATATATTATTTAACGTAGATACCGTTGATGCTCAATTTATCAAGAATCTCTTCTAATATGTCTACCATCACAATAATTTTATACACAGCTGTTAGATGTCCGATCAATCGACTTTCCGCAATCTTTATTTTATCGTAATTTTATTGTATTAAATATGATAATCAATGCATGGATCGTACGTCACTTTATTAATTTTTATTTATATCATTTGAATATAAATATTTATAATTTACCATTTAAAAATCCTTTTATCGTCGTTTTTCGCAATAATTATTAAACAGATTTTTAATCACTTATAAAATTCAATATTTTCAACTATTTATCGTCAATTAAAATATTAACTGAATCATGTTTATATATTTTCTGTTACTTGTAAGAAATAAAATTATTATTGTTCATAACTATGTAACTATGAATTCTTAACCTTCAAGATTATAAAAAACAGGAAGAGCGTAAATATTACCTTTCAAAATTAATTCAATGTATTAGGAATGACTAGTGCAAAGAACGATTCAAAACATCTATTTGATGGTAATATACAAATATAATATTAATATTTATTTGAACAAATTTATCTATTTATCTATATTTATTATAATATTATGTATTATTTAATTTTTAGTGATTACTTCATTGATGTCAAAAATATATCTATTAATATATATATACCCGTATGAATATACGTACATACGTATGATTTCAAAGTATTCTTGTTATAAATAAAATTATAACTTTATTTTATTTTAATAATATTGATATAAAAATTATTTTGACTTTTATTGCTTTAAAATTAAAAATATTTGATTTTGACATATATATATAAATTACAAAAAGATATATATTTATTGCAAAAAGATATAGATTGCAAAAACAAAAAGTAGACATTGAATTTAGAAAACATTATTTCTATAAAAATTCTAATATTTTTATGATTTTTATCTTATTGCAATAAATAAATCTATAGTAACAAATAACAGTTTTAGAATATATTATCTAGAATATATATTATATCTATTAATATATAATATATTATGTTTGAATGAATTTGAATTGTATTAAAAATAAATTCATATAATTTCTTTTTATTAAATAATTTCAACTGATAATTTCGAAAAAAAATCGATCATTTTTTATCTTTATATATTCCAGAAAACCTTGCAAAAAAATTTATAAATATTTTCAAATTTCCAGTAAAATTTATTTTTCATGAAGGCTTAAAACGAGAGCCGAATAAAACCGAAAATAGCCGATAATGTTGATTCATATTCAATGCGTAGCGTTAGTCTGTGATTACCAATGTCGCCATCGCGCTGTGCTGCATACGTCTAGTCAGTCGTGTTAGAGAAACGCGGTCGTGAATTGGTTTGATATTTTTGTTAACTATTTCGAATAACTATATAGAAGGTATTGATATGGAAATATAGGCAATGAGTGATCGTAATAAATCTACCTGTTAACATTAAATCACAATAAAGAAAATAATCGTTTAATATCATTGCTCTCATAAACGAGCTATGTATTGGTTTTATATGTTTTTCCGAGGTCACCGTCAAACTTTGACAGACGCTAATATGTCACATCTAAATATAATATTCTTTCTGCTGGGTATCTGGACTCTCATTAATACAGTAAGTTATTTGTTTACAAAATCACAACCCTTATAAGAATTGTACAATATAATTCATTATCTACACCACACCCTGATGTGAAACTCGCATTGTGACGTCACCTCAGTTTATCCTCATGAAAATTTACCGTTGACATTGTTAACGGATTAAAAAATTATATATATTAAATTTAATTATTTTCGTTATATCTATAAAAAAAATATATTAATCGATATATTTACTTTTTAAATGTTATTTTTTCCGATGAAAACGGAAAGAACTATTTTTTAATTTTTAGTGAAATTAATTTTCTGTTAAAATGATATAAAGAATTTTATTTTTATTATTTTGTGTTTGTAAATATTATTTAGTTGATATGATACTTTTTTATTGATATAATTCTTATACAAAATCTTTGTATATTTTATAAAAAAGTTTTTAAAATTTCAAGTCACATATATTTTTTAATAAAATATAATACTTTGAAAATGAATGAATTATGAATCGCTCAATAAATCATTTGTATTATTATTTATAATAATAAAATATATATATAATAAATAGATAATAAAAAAGAATAAAGAAATTTTTTATTACTTTAATCATATATGATTATGATGATTAATTTAATTTATAACAGTGACCTCACTTAATATTAGTCCCTCTTCTTATCAAATAATTGATTATGAAAGAATGTTAAAGTCTTTGTATACAATCTTATAATGTTCTGTAAGCAATGATTCATTACTTGTTAATGCTATATAATTGATAGAAAGATTTTCTATTTATGTTATA